GCTCCCACCCCCCCCGCAGGCCAGTTGGGGGAGGGAAGGCTTTTGAAGATGCCTCCCCCCCCCTTTTGCTTCCCCTTCTGACATCACTTCCGGTGATGTCAGGGGGTGTGGCATATGCTAATGAGATATTATGCTAATTGGCTAGTGACTCATTAGCATACATTATGCTAATGAGCATACATTATGCTAATGAGCTCCTGCAGCTCTTTTTCTACGGAATGACCCCTGCTTTACGAGTGAAACTCACAGGTTTCCACATCTCTAAGAACTCCTTCCACATAGAAAACTAGCACGCCAAGAAGAAGCGTTGTAGAATCTAGACAGACCTTCCCTCACCAATCTACAAGCTTTTTATGTGCAGATTTTTTTTTCTTTTTAAAACAAGAGCCTTCCATCACACAAGTCTTCCTGCAGTCTGAAATGGTATAGCCCAGATGCAAGCACACTTCCTGGGGCCAAACTCGGCTCAGTGGTCGAGCATCAAATCAAATTTAAATGCAATGCCAGCCCAAATGCACTTAGCGTGGTAACTGTCCAGTGTGCAAAGTGAGCATGGGTTCCTCTTGCGCGAATCGTGGGAACCTTGCACGAATCATGAATGCTTGAATGTAGCCTCTAAATGGGAGCCGGCCACATTGCCGCCACTCCTGTATAACCAGCCTCAGTCACTTCTCTCTTTTAACAAAAGCCTTCCGGAGGCGCCACATGGCAAAAGGGGTACGGTGTACCCTGCATTCTCTGTTGTGGCCAGTGTTCCCTCTAAGATGAGTAAGTGTGAGCTAGCTCACAGTTTTTTAGCCTCCGGCTCACACATTTTTGTCTCGGCTCAGGAAGGATGGCCCCAGAGCAAACTAATTTCTGCAGTCGCCAAATCGCTCGCTCATAACTTTAATGCCAGGAGCTCACAAAGTAGAATTTTTGCTCACAAGACTCCCCCGCTTAGAGGGAGCATTGCTTGCGGCTCTCACTTGGTGCAGTGGCCTAGCCTGGGGAGGCGAGAAAAGGTCTAATCTGACTCTCTACACACACCCCAACTTCAGGAGACGATTGCAATAGAAGAGAATATCATTATCATCTGCAGAATTTCAAGCAGTCTCCACCGCATCTACTCTGCCATGTTGAGGGCGTAGTTAATTTTGCAAACCAGTTAGACCACCTCATTTGTTGCATGAAACGCAAAGTCCTCATTCTTTAACCTTATAATTCCTGCTTCGCCGTCTCTCCCATCACCTGGTTTTCTAGCACAGTGCTCTCATGTTATCGGTTGCATCGCATGCATCAGCCGCAATCCACCTTCAATCACGGCAAGAAAGTTGGACTATGATTCGCATCGGTCAATATTCATCTGGTACCTTTTATCCCTGACCCGTATGGACCAGGCTAGGCCAATCTCACCAGATCTTGTAAGCTAAGCAGAGTTAGTGCTTGGACGGGAGACCACCAAGGAAGCCCAGGGTTGCTACGCAGAGGCAGGCAAACGGCAAACCGACTCTCTTTGTCTCTGGCCCTGGCCCGGCTAGCTAGGCTGATCTCTGCAGATCTCAGATGCTAAGTGGGGTCGGCCCTGTTTGGTACTTGAATGGGAGGCAGGCAATGGCGAACCACTGCTGTTCGTCTCTTTCCTGACCTGGATGGCCCAGATCTGAGAAGCTAAGCAGGGTCGACCCTGATTGGTACTTATAGAATCATAGAACGTTAGAGTTGGAAGGGACCTTGCAGGTCATCTAGTCCAACCCCCTGCGCTCTGCAGGAGCAGAGCCAAAAGATAGCCCTACAACATACCCGAAAGAGGGTCGTCCAGCCTCCTCCGCTTGAAAACTTCCAGCGAAGGAGGATCCACCACCTCCCGAGGCAGTCTGTCCCACTGCTCAACCACTCTTACAGTTAAGAGGTTTCTCCTGATATTTAGCCGGTAACGACTCCCTTGTGATTCCCACCCATTAGATCTAGTCTTGCAATCCGGAGCAAGAGAGAATAGAATCATAGAATCAGAGAGTTGGAAGGGACCTTCCAGGTCATCTAGTCCAACCCCCTGCACTCTGCAGGAGCATAGCCGAAAGATGGCCCCACAACATACCCGGAAGATGGTCGTCCAGCCTCCTCCGCTTGAAAACGTCCAGCAAAGGAGCATCCACCACCTCCCGAGGCAGACTGTTCCACTGCTCAACCACTCTGACAGTTAGGAAGTTTCTCCTGATATTCAGCCGGTAACGACTCCCTTGTGATTTCCACCCATTAGATCTAGCCTTGCAATCCGGAGCAAGAGAGAATAGATCTGCTCCATCTTCTACATGGCAGCCCTTCAAATACTTGAAGACTGCAATCATGTCCCCTCTAAGCCTTCTCTTTCCCAGGCTAAACAGACCCAACTCTTTCAGCCTTTCCTCGTAAGACTTGGATTCCAACCCTCTCACCATCCCGGTTGCCCTCTTCAGGACACGCTCGAGCTTGTCAACATCCTTCCTAAAACGTGGTGCCCCAAACTGGACACAGGACTCCAGGTGAGGCCTGATCGTAGAAGAATAGAGCAGAACTACCACCTCCCGTGATCTGGACACAATGCTCCTGTTAATGCATCCTAAGATTGCGTTCGCTTTCTTCGCAGCCACATCACACTGCAGGCCCATGTTTAGCTTGTGATCAACCAGAACACCCAGATCCCTTTTACATGAGCTGCTGTCAAGCCAAGCCCCTCCCATTCTATATCTGTGCCTTTGATTTTGTTTGAACGGGAGACCACCAAGGAAGTCCCAGGGTCGCTCCGCAGAGGCAGGCAATGGCAAACCGACTCTATTTGTCTCTGGCCTGGCTAGCTAGGCTGATCTCCGCAGATCTCAGATGCTAAGCTGGGCCGGCCCTGTTTGGTACTTGAACGGGAGACCCCCAAGGAAGCCCAGGGTCGCTACGCAGAGGCAGGCAAAACGGCAAAACACCCCCGGACATCTCTCGCCTCGAAAACCACACAGACGCATAGTGAGTCAGCGGACGCCGCTTCCCGACATCCCGTTTCCTTCCACCCTTTCTCCAGCTCACTCGAAACGACAGGCACGGCTCTCCCCGCCCCTTGGTCCTCCGAAGAACCCTGCAAGGCAGGCCGGCCGAGAGCTTCCAGCAGGGATGCCAGCCTCCAGGCGGGAGCATCACCCCCTGACCGCCAGATTACAGAGATGAGCTCCCCTCGGGAAAAGGGACGCTCCGGAGGGCGGCCTGTGTGTCCTCATCCCGCCCCCCGAGCGCCTCCTTGTCATTGCCAGGCTGCATCCTAAGGCATTTCCATTCCCTGGATCCCGCCACCTACCCGGCTGCCGGCTGGAGCGCCCCGGCGGCGGCGCCGCCGAGGCCTTTGCCCTGGGAGCCGTCCGGCCGCGCAGCCGCCTCTCCTCCCCGCTCGCTCCGCCGCTTCATGCTCCGTCTTGCAAGGAGGCCGTACGCTAAACTGCTGCTGCAGCGGCTCCAAGCCCCCCGCTCCCAGGTCGGGCGCCGCCCCCAGGACCGCCCCCTTGGCAGGCGACCAATGGCTACGCTGGACCGGCACGGCCGCGCCCCCCGCTCCACAGGGAGGCGGCGGTGGCGGCCCGCGGAAGCCACGCCCCCTCGCCGCCCAGGTAGGCGCGGCGCTCACCTGGACCGTCCCCCGTTGCCAACCTCCCGGGGGAGGCTGGAGTTCTCCCACCACGGCGGCCGGTGCTCTCCAGGCGAGGGAGCGCGGTTCCCCTGGGCCGCTTGGGGAGGGAGGTGGCCTGTGCGGGAGGGTTGCCAGCCTCCAGGTGGGAGCGGGGGATTTCCCTCCCCCCCCGGAATGACAGCTCATCTGCTGGCGACAGAGAGCCCTTGTTGGGATTCTTTTTGAGTTAATTCAGCAGAGTATTAAAGAGGCTGAGTCCATGGTGTGTTTAAAATATAAACGTTGACTATAAACCTAACATGGGGAAAAGGTACACAGGATATAAAATAACAAAGCGCTAAAATGTCTACATCCTTCCAGCTAAAAGGTAAAACTGGAATGGCAGAAAGGCGTCTCCTTCTCGGTCACATCAAAGAACACACAGAGACGGAAGAGAAGCCATAAAATGCCAATACTTGACACTTTGGTTTCCGATCAGAGTAGCAAACTAGCTCCAAAGTTCCCGGGCTTCCTATTGTCTAAGTAGATTGGTTACAAACAAACATGTGACTTAACAAACATCATTAACCCAGTAAATACTGAAGTGTTTTTAACTTGTAATACACAACAGCCGTTCCCCTGGAGGAAAATGACCACGATGGAAGGTGGAATCCCGTGACCCTGCCCCATCCATGGCCAGTGACTTGCACACAAGGAAGCCATAGCCTGGTATGAGCCAGTGTAGTGTAGAAGCTGAAGCGTCAGGCTGGGAGCTGGAAGATCCGAGTTCGAATTCCATACTTGGGGCGTGGTTTAGAAATAGTCTGGAGCAAACTTACACTTCTGGCACTGACGTTTTTGTCCCTCCTTTGTCCCTGTTGCTTCAGGGGGTTTTCCCCCACCCGATGTCTTTTGCTTTCTCTGGTAGTCCCAGAGGGAGAAAAATACATGTGGGAAAGGAGGGGGGTACCCAAAGTGTTGGGTTTAAAAATTGTATTTAGCAGAGATAAAATAGCTTAGCAGTGCCAGAGTAAAATAATTCAGACTCAGAGTCCATGTGTGATTAAAATAGAAAGTTTTTACTACATTCTAGCATAGGGAAGGGTAACTGGGATGAAAATAACAACGGAGCTGAATCTCCTACATCTTTATGCTACAAAGACAAGCCTAGAAGAGAGATAATGGCTGCTCTTCTTTCTTCTTGAGAACTCCAAACAAAGATGGGAAGAGAAGTCATAAAATGCTAAAACACTGTGACACATTTGTTCCAATCAAACTCTTAGATCAGGGAGAGTTTCCCGGGCTTCCAGCATCTAAACTAACATTGGTTACATGAAACATGTGATTTCCTGTGAACAACACAGACAAACATTTAACCCCAGATATACTGAGTGTAATTTAACTTGTAATATCCAACACAAAGCAACAGGGACAATCGAATGACAAAAGTGATAGTGCGG